GAGAGGGTGCTGCCATAATAAATACCTAAAAATGTGGAAGTAGCTTTATAAACTTGGCAGTGGGTAGAGGTTGGAAGGGTTTTAAGGAGCATGTTAGAGAAGACCTAAGTTGCCTTGAACAAATTGTTAGTATGCTTCCCATGAGGGCTTAAAGGGAAGTGAGGAAAAATATTTTTGGAAATTGGAGGAAGGAGGATCCTTAAGCAGTAACAGAAACTTAGCAACACTATCACCATCAGTAACATGGAAAGTAGGAAATATGCCTAATAAACTGAATGATCTAGCTAAGATTCCTGAGCAAAGTCAAAGTGTTGTAGGTGATGCATACTTTTTTTCTTATTGCTCACAGTAAAATGCAAGAGAAGAGAGAAAAACTAAAGAACTGTTAAACAAAAAAAAGAATCTGGACATGAATGTTTTTGAAAATTCTCAGTCTCTCAAGATGGCAAAATATGCTAAAGTAAAGAATGGCTTCCAAACAAACTTTGAATCCAGGGCACTGCCACACATGGCCTAAAAATGAAGCTGAGGGGATAACTGTAAAACCTTTTGTTAAGACCCTGGAAAGATCGAGAGTGCACCTTACAGTAATAATGTTATACAAAAAGGTCCTTTAAAAAGATTAAGGGTATGTCTCATAGATGCTCTCAATCAAACAATAGGCCCTCTAGAAAGCTGGAGAGCATTGTAGCTCTCAATACCTCTGCAGAAGCCCCTATTTTCAAAAGGTTCTTAGATGTGGCTTTTATCTAGTGGAATAAACCCCAATGTGATTCACAGGAGGCTGACAAAAGTTTTGACAGAATTATATCAGCAAACACACTGCAAAGTAGACTAAAAGGGACAGTGACAGTACAAAATGAAGAGACCATTCGACCCACAAAATTCTACTGGCAGGAATTAGACTGAGAAAACTACTCATCTTCAAATACATGCTACAGTTCATGAAAAAGAAAGGATGACTCAGTGGCAGGAACCTAGAACTCAGAGAGCAAAGCCTGGAACCCTAATTATTCCCAGGCCTTGAGGTTTAATCAAGGAACCTCCAATGCTTGCCCATTCAAATTTCAAAATCCCTATGGACCAATGACTCCTTTGTGCTTCTCACTTTCCCCGCTTAGAATAGGAAAGTTGAAACAACTATCCTATGCCTGTTTTATCACTGTATGTTGGGTGTGTAGGTGGTGTGTGTAGGTGGTGTATGTCGGGGTTGAAGTGGCGGGGCTAGATAATTTGTTTCTTTAGTTCACAGGTCTTCAGATTCAGAGGAACTACAATACAGGCATACCTCAGAAATATTGCAGGTTTGGTACCATACCACAATAAAGCAAATATTGCAATAAAGTGAGCTGTAATCATTTTGCCTTCAATTTATAAAACATGTAACATCTATGAAGCACAATAAAGCAAAGAATAATAAAACAAGGTATTCCTCTACTTGAAGATCTGTACTTAAGTAACTATACCTGAGGAGCCTCATCAACACTTGATCTGATTTTGATGTAGAGATTCTGGACTCTGAAGTGATGTATAAATGGGATGAAACTTTTGGAATCCTTGGAAGGAAGGGTGGGCATTTTGCATGTGGGAGGGATATGCATCATGGCAGGGTGGGAGGGAGAGGGTGGGGTAGAGGACAGACTAGCCACCCAAAACCTTATAGGATATCTGGGGAGATGCATACATGAAAAGTTAAAAATTAATATTTATTAATCATTGTAAGTTAACCTCGTAAGTGAACAGTATGAACTAGGTGCCAGAGCCCTTCAGAGAAAAGAGATTAAAATGACCTAACATACATAGGAAGAATAGCAATATTGGAGATTATCATCAGAGTTGAGATTTGAAACATAGATAAAATTTGAATATACTGAGGGAGAAGGATTTTCTGGGAAAAAGAATTACATAAGCAAAGATAAAAAGCTGAAACCATACATGTTATGTTTAAATCATGCAGATCAGCTGGGTTGGAGCAATTAGGCACATCTATGAGGACAGGGATGACATCTTATTTGGCATTATATTTCAAGAGCTTAGCACAGTGCCCGGTACATACACAGTAAACATGATTACTTTTTAAACAAATGTTTAAATTTAGTTTGGGAAAATGGGTAAAGATCAATCTGTAGCAGAACCATGGAATGTCAGTTTACTGACTTTATCCTACATTGAAGGAGTTAGCAAAGAATTCCAAGATGGAAACCAATACACAAAAACCATGCTTTAGGACAATTAACCTAGTGTGAGACAGTGGATCCTTCCACTCAGAATTCTCTTTACTGCTTCCTCCTCCTGAACACTTCAAAAATAAGATGAATCAGCCCAGCAAATGTGGCTCAGTGGTTGAGCACCGACCTATGAACCAGGAGATAGAGGTTCGATTCCCAGTCAGGGCACATGCCCACATTGTGGGCTCGATCCCCAGTAGGGGGCGTGCAGGAGGCAGCCAATCAATGATTTTCTCATCATTGATGTTTCTCTCTCTCCCTTCCTCTTTCTGAAATCAATAAAAATATATTTAAAAAAATAATATGAATCAGACACCGAGTATTTGTCATTTTAAGTATTAGTAAAGAATAATGACATAGTTTTATAGTCAGTCATTTAGTTAGTGAGTCCAGTCACCCACTCAGCAAGGCAAAGGAGCTTTATTATCTTATACTAGTCTTCAGT